AAACTGAAAATGGACCACACACACAAAACTGGTTAGCAAACAAAGTATGGGAACTTACAGTTTTGTTGAGTTCGTACAGGTCTGCTCGTTCAGTAACGTAATCCAAAACCTAAAAGACAATGCATTGTGAGATTATATTAGCTTCACATCATATGCACAGCAGCTGTATCAACTTGACAGAGGTTACAACAGTGAATACTCACATCAGGTACTTTGTAGTCTGCAAGTTGTTGTTTCAACTTTGAGTTTAATGTCTCTGCTTTTGTTCGCTCCTTAAAATTAAGAACATGTAAGTTAAAAAAAAAATTGCATTTGGATATGCTGTGAAGTTGGGTTTGATAGAGAAGGAGAAATAATCTTCTTTTTCGGTTAGAGTGAAAGTCATTAGAAAACTTCACAGAGTCATTAGGAAATTTCAACACTTTCAAGATACCCTGTTCATTACCAGGGGCATACTTGAAGAGCCTGGGGTTAAAGTGAGTGAGAGCTAAAATTCCAAACAGAAACCAGGCTCTACTGTTTTGCTGGAAGTATAAAAAAAATTTACACTGATAAAACATCATCTGAGTGCTTCTGCTGTAAATGGCCTTTTTTTTTTGGTAGTTGTCCACCTCAATTATTCCCAAACCAGAAGCCCTTAAAAGAAAGAAAGAAAAAAAAGACTAAAAAACACACAGGCAAATGAGCAATTGAAGAGAGCAAGTACCTTTTCAACCATATGTGTTTCCGTATCAATCTTAGATAGCAGCTCATTTCTTTGCTGAATTTCCAGTTTTAACCTTGAGGACTCCATTGTCAGGGTGTGTAACTTTTTCTTGTATGTGTTGAGAATTTGTTGTACATTGCCATCCATAAGTTTAAGTCTAAGTAGATCTTGATTTTTTTCATCAATCTTTTCAAGGTATTGTTGGTTTTCAATTTTCAATTGATTGAAGTCCACTTCATGTAGAACTTCGCCCATTTCTTCTTTCTGGAATAACAAACACACTCAGTTCATTTCAATGAAAAAAAATGCATCTCCTCATATGTGTAAAATATTTATCACAGACCTGCTTTAGTTGCATGTGCAGTTTCCTCTTCTGAACCTTCAGTGTGGAGTTTTTAAGTCTCAACTTCTCGATTGTAGTATCCTAGAAAAGCAACATTTGGATATTCAGTTGAAGAATCTGTATATCCACTCAAAATACATTGGTCAATAGGTGGCAACAAGTTTGAAATCAGAGTATCTAAATGACTCTGGGGTAGCAAAGCAAGCCCAGAGTTCAAAGTTGTTCTTCTCAATGTTTACAAAAACTAACATAGGTATATTTTATGAGGTCCACAATACATGCACACACTTCAACAAAATGTAGAAAAAGTTCAGATATAGCAAAAGAGTTTCCATTGTTCATAAAACTCTAGCTGGTGTATTTAGTGATACACCTGCAAGTACATTTGTGCTAAGAAAAAATCAAATTCTCATGGACTAACCCTCGCTCTCAGTTTATCTTCAATGTATCTTGTGACTCTCTCTGCAATAACTTTATTGGTTCTCTGCCAAATAGAAATAAAAGAACAAGTCATTCAGGATTTGTAAAATGTAAAAGAACTGCTTGGATCTAATTGATTAAGCTTTCTCCAATTCTAACAAACACACACACACAAACACAGTACCTGGTTGACAGCTCCTTTGACAACATCTCTCTCAAATTCATAAGAGGCCTTCTTAATTTCAGCACTTCGAATATCTGCCTCTTCCATGACAGCCTTAAAGCCAAAAAATATGGTAACGTTATGATCTCCCCTTCCTGTTTTATTACAGTTTAAAGAATTTCCATATGTTTCCTTTGATGCAACATCCTTCATGAGACTATTTTAAACTATTACATTGACTACCTCCCATTTGCCTTGCAAGTTCCCATTCATAGAAGTGCTTCTGCAGTATCCCAGGATTTTCACTGGTTGGAATGCCATTCAAGACACACTTTTGTTCAGTTAGTTCTCCTTTTAAATCATAAAATACATTACTTTCCATGGCTCTTTTTTCAGTTGATGTTTACTATGAATTCTGGTAGAGAGGTCAGTCTCAAAAGTGCCAACAATCATGTAATGAAGGCATTCCTTTTCTATTTTTGTTTCCACAACTTTCAATGATCCACATTAAAATTTCAAGGCCCAGGGGGCCTTCAATGACATATGAAAAACCCTGTATTGCAAGATACACATACCCGGAAGTTATCAAGGATCTTTTCAGATTCATCCCTGCGTTTCTCAATGTCATCTCTAAGTTCTTCCAGTTCACGCTGGGCAATGTCACATTTCTGCTCTGCATTTAATTTCAAATGCCTTTGGGGTGGGAAATTTGTTACATATAAAAATTAGTTTGTTTTTCAAACACTTTTCATAAAATCATCAAAACAGCTTCTTACACAACTAACAAAGGATCAAAAACATTCAAACAAGTCTTTAAAAACCTTAGGAGTCTATGTTATGGGTTAGAAGGGAATTCAGGTCAAATTGATTTCAAACTGTGTTGATTTGTAAGTTTCTTTTTTTTTAAGAACCACAACAATGTATTGCAAACAAAGTGAAATAAAAACTAGTCAGACTAGTTTATGAATTACGGTCAACTTGCCGATGGTCCAACTCGCCAACGCCAATGTATAAAATCTAGTAGAGATGTCGGTGAGTTGGTCCTCAATCCAATACAACTTATTAGAAGTTAAACATACAGAAAAGTAAACAATATTTAGTAAAAAACACTGGTGAACATTGGTGAACATCAAACAGAAGCCTAAACATTGGTGAACATTGGTGAACATCACCAATGACTATAACAGCTTAAGATGCAAACGAGTTATCTCGTTCACGTCCAAAGCAGATATAGTATATATATATTATATATTGTATGTATAATATATATATATATATATATATCTCATGTCAATCTGTCTTATTTATTTAAGTCAAGTCGCTTGGTAAAAAGTCAACGCACAAACAGTGTTGTTGTCACACAATAATTATCTTGTTCGCGTCTGAAGCGGATATAGTCATTGGCGAGGGTCAATTAGGGTAAAGATCTTGTCTAGAAAGCCAAGTTTTCTTTAAAAAATCTGAGCAATTGACATGATGAGTCTTTACGGTGTTGTTGTCACACAATAGCTCGTTTGTGTCTGAAGCGGATATAGTCATTGGCGATGTTAACTTTGCTTTTTCGCCTTGAGATCCTTATAAACTTTGTTGCAAATAAAAAGAATTGAATTTTACTAAAGATCTTGTCTAAAAAGCCAAGTTTCTTTAAAAAATCTGAGCGATTGACATGATGAGTCTTTACGGTGTTGTTGTCGCACAATTATAAACTTGTTCGCGACTTAAGCTGTTATAGTCATTGGTGATGTTCACCAATGTTTAAGCTTCTGTTTGATGTTCACCAATGTTCACCAGTGTTTTTTTACTAAATATCGTTTAATTTTCTGTATGTTTAACTTCTAATAAGTTGTATTGGATTGAGGACCAACTCGCCAACGTCTCTACCCGATTTTATACGTCGGCAAGTTGGCTTCGGCGAGTTGACTGGATACCCTATTTTATTATCAAGAGGGTAAGTTTCTAGAGGAACTGTGGTGCTGCGTCGGTGGGAGAGTATAACATGGTAATCGAGTATTATCAACTGAGTTGATAATGTAAATTGGCCACTATAAAGAGTTTAGAAGCTGACCTCTTTATGGTAGCCAATTTACGTCATCAACTCAGTTGATAATACTAAATTAACCCTTTTTTGTAATCATTTTGAATTGAATTTATACTACAACATTTCTATTGGGAAAAGGAATAATGCATTGCAAATATCATATTTTCCTTTGCTTGGTTGTACATTAATTTTATTAATTCTCTTACCTGTCTAATGATGGTCCTCTTGATCTTGATCTCTTTCTCAGTCCTCTATGACTTTGTTCAATCACAGGTTGGGTTGGGCCTTGAGTAGCTTCAATGAAACATTTGATTATGTGCTTACTGGATCATTTCTAGTAAACTTACTATTTAATTGCAATGTAAATCTCTATCAGCATGATTTTAGCACATAACACTGATCAAAATAATTGCTTACACCTTCCCCTGTATCAAACACCAAGGAATAATCAAAGATGAGAGGAAGAGAAACAAAATTTTTTTACAACTTACTGGCTTGCTGGAGTCCAATGTCCTTCGGATCAACTCTCTTGAGGTATTTTTCAAACATCGTAGTCTCGTTTTTGAGAACGTCATTGGCATGTCTAAAAAGGACCATATCGCGGTTAATCGAGATTTTAGTACTGGCAGTAGTCAGAATTATTCGCAAAATGTAACTTGATAAACAACCCCCTTCGAATCAACAATTACACCAAGTTAATCTAAAACTATCCTTTTAATTCTCACTCTTCCATGCTTTGCCTCTTTCTTGTTGTCACCATTTATCACAATGAGCATTTTTCTACTTGTTATATATCCAACTTCCAACGCTTTGTACATTAATTAACTGAAAATGACAGAAGTTTCTGTCGAAACATGTTTTACAAACTTAAAAATTTGTCGTTTACTTCCAATTCTTAACTTGATAAACAAAGTAAATTTTACTAAAAAGACAAGAGCAACTTTTTTGCGAGACAGTAATGAACATGGTGATAGAACCTTACATTTTGCCCGTTAGAGACCACCAAACAAAGTTGCAACAAATGCTACATACAAGTAAGCAAGCTGAAGACTTATGACCAAAGTCAGTTATACCTTTGTTCCATTTATTCTCTAAACATCCATCCTCCAAATTTAAAATAATCACTTCAGAGCTTGTCTTGTACTTACATTGTTTCCTGAACAAGATTGTAAAGTTCTTCGTCGGTGAGTTCCGCCAAAGGCTCTTCATCGTGATCCAAAGAACTACTAACATCCACATCGGACATCGCCATCTTAATTTCCTTTCCGTTGCTACGACGAGACGTTACCATGGCAAACATACAGCCCATGCAACCGAGGCTGGGTCTGTACATGGGCATGGGATCGAGGCAGAACGTTTCTAAACGTTTGGCGGCCATCTCTGAGGTTTTCAAGGAGTTGGTAATTTTTGCAATCCGGTTGCATCTGGTAACTTCAGCTTGTAACCATGAAACTTGTTAGGTGAGCCGACTACGAATTTAGCGGTGCCTTTTTACAAGGTCGTACAATATTGCTTGCTCTATAACTATAATGATTATCTTCATTTGGCGTCTTCTCCTTAAAAGGTTTTTGATGAAACTAAGCCATGAAACGGTGACAATCGAACTAAAAAATGGAACAGTTGTTCATGGAACTATCACAGGTGAGTATGAATGCAGCTAGAGCGCGATATACGTCTGTTTATGTTCTGCGGAGGCAAATAGCAAAGATATGTTCTTAGGTTGATCAGGAAGCTTACATTAATCATATGTAGACAACGTGGATTGAGCCTTAATCTCCTATTAGCTTGTATAAATCTAAATACATGTTCGCTTTTAAGTTAATTTTAACTCTCCTTAGCTCAGATACCTTGATTAAGCTGGCAGATCGTTTCCAGAGATAAATTTTACTAGTCATGTTTACGTGGGAAAGTTGTTGCCTAAGCTGAGTTTCCAATGCCTGGCATGGTTTTTATCTTTGTTTGGGTCATGACCTCAGCAATATCATGAAATTTTCCTTCTTACAAGCTTCAGAATTATTAATGTTTTCTCTGAAGTTCCCGTGCAAGGAGACATTTTCCTTAGTAACTGTTGTACGGGTGTCATAAGTTATCAAACAACAGACACAATGATATTTGTGGTTTGATGGTCCAGGTGAGGATAGTCCTGTTAAGGGTTTTCGTGACAGCAATATATGACTAAACAGTATGATCAGAGGTCACTATCAGAGTCAAGTAGAGTTTTGTTAGTAATGTGGTTGGCCAATTTCTCTAGTCATTTGGTAAGCTGGGGTTTCAAGATCCATCCAGGTTAAGGTGCTGGACTTGTTATCTGGTGGTCCTGGGATCAAGTCTTCCATCCTTGGCCACCCCAAGTTCAACTCCTCCACTGTGCAGTGTGGATAACTAACTGCCTGCCTCCTACCTGTTGGATTTTCGAGAACTTTATGTATATTTGCAATATTTGTTTTTCCCTCCATCATGTTTTAAAGTGCTTAAAGTGCTATATAAATTGTGAATTTATTTATCTAATTTTTTATCTGTGAACGTGGTTAGTGCTATCAGCCAAATATTGAAGAGAGAGTTTGTCTTAGAGGTTGTTTGTAGGTTTGAAAAATACAGTTTTGTTGGGTTGATTGACTGATGTGTTGCAACTGTTTCTAGTGCCCATACCAGGACCATGTATCTTAAAAATCAACCACCACTTGTGGGTTCAAACTAGTAATTTTGATGAGATGTTGTTTTTTCCCTATAACTATAGGTGTGGATATGAGTATGAACACACACTTGAAGGCTGTGAAAATGACTATAAAGCACAAGGAACCAGTACAGTTAGAGTCACTGAGCATCAGGGGCAATAATATTCGCTACTTCATTCTCCCAGAAAGCTTACCATTAGACACACTTTTAGTTGATGATGCTCCCAAAGCTAAGGCTAAAAAGAAGGAAGCAGGTATGTTCTTGTTGTTTTATTACTTTACATTCCTTTTGTTAAGTGGTATTTGTAACAGCCATTCTAGGACTAATTCTTATGTTATACTGCATTAAAGAGAAAGGCTATGAGAATTTATGTTCCCCGCATTTTGCAGTGAAAGCTAATCATATAAATTTGTTAATTTTTTTTTGTACCATGGATATTTATTTCTGGTCCAAACAATGTTGCTTTGAATACACAAGTAAATGAGAAGTTAGGAGGAAAGAAAAATGAGGTCTGCATCTCTATATTGAAGTGCAGATCTGATTTTGGAATGTGAAGGTTAGAAAAAAGCTTTTAACTTGCTATATTTGCTTTAAATAGCTGCCAGAGGAAGAGGTCGTGCCACTAGTGGGAGAGGCAGAGGGCGTGGCAGAGGCAGGGGTAGAGGAAGAAGGTGATCTTACATTTAGATCACAAAGCTAAAACATTAACATCTAAAACTGGAGGATCCCTCAAGTTTCCAGTGGCTTTTTTTATTCTAAAAACTCTCCTAGAGATGCTAAGAATTATTAAATTGGATCTATGCTAAGGTGATGTCATTGACAATACTGCACTTTGTTAGTGATAGCAGCTTAAATTAAAATATTTTAGCATTCATAAAGCCACTGCAATGAGGCCATGAGGACCAGTCTTAACTACACTATTGTATAGAGCATAGGATTGTGGGATAGTGTGGCCTCAATCCAGAGGGATAGGATTTAACCTGATCTGCAGGAAAACAGGAGTTTGTTAAAAAAGAGAACAGTTTGCATGCAAGTTTTTTTGGTTTGTTAGTGAAATGTAAATAAACATTTTGAACTGATTACATGAGGTCTGTGTCTTCACTGACCAACCTGTTCTGTTGAACTGTTGAATCCAATAGACAGGATAATTTTTAAATTGATGACAGATGAAATGAAGCATTTCTTTATTACAAGTTGTGTGTTAGGAAGTGCTTCACAATTTATTGATCATATATGGATGACTGTCTTTTTCAAGTGCATTTGAGCCCTTGCCTACAAAGCTTAGGTAGCTTGCAGGTATGCCCTCGTCAGAAATTATTAGTCCTTCTGTGGGAAATTATGAGGCTCCAAGTGACAGGAACTGGCAAGGGGTCTGTCTCTGATAAAGCAGATCTTTTGCTGACTTGTCTTGTATAAGGACTTAAACTTCCTTTCAGGGGAAGAAACTTTGGCCATAGGGTTAATAATGAGCTCCTGCTCACAGGCTAAAGTTTCAAGGATTACTACTTGTGGCTGTGAAGCTGTAGTAAATTTTTTATATAGACAATCTCCAATCAATTGAAGTGCAGTAAGGATTGTTTGATGTATAATTTTCTTTGTCCTCCACGTGGTTTTCACATAGAGATTAGTTTACCAAGGACAGCTATACAAAGTTTCATCATTGGGGTTGATTTGGCAAGGAGTCCATTTATGGTAATTACCATGGGTTCTATGTGGAAATAGAAATGAGCAATAGGATATGGCCCGCCTGAGAAGGTGTGTTGTTTCAGCTTTAAGCGGCAAAATTACCCGGTGGGTGGAACGAAGAAAATGCTTATTTTAGAAGCCCTGTGACCTTTATATTCATTGAGTACAAGATCCTAGCAATGTAGGCAAGAGTTACTGTAGAAAGCACCATGAGTAGGGAAGAAGGACAGTGACTATTAAAATGAACTGTATAGAACGCAGAAAGGTGGCAAAAAAAGTCAGATACGGGTCAAAGAAGTACTCACTAGAGCATTTTGAAAAGGAAATTAACACGAAGTCGATAACCATAAAAACGGAAAAAAGTAGCATAGGGAACTCAAGAGAATCGCTAATGTCTTCTTTGTTTTACTGTACGTTTTCTGACGCTTTTTTAGACTCCATCGTCAACATTGTCTCTAAACTTCGAAATTAGTCCGCCACACGTACTACTTTTTCTTGCGTGCGATCAGAGCGGGCAATCCCGAGCGGGAAAGATGAACCCTCTTACCCGCACGGTAGCTAATTAGAACACAGGATCCTCGTATCGCCCACGGGCACTGTCAGCGATATAATAAATAGTACATCCTGGAAGTATGAGGATTACTTAAGGACTGGGCTATTACCAAGGGAATTGGCTCTTACTTGTGCACTCAGGCTCGAGATGAGGCGTAAACTGTACAAGAACTCCCTTTTATTTTCAAACCCTAACACGTGACACTTCACCAAAGGAGAACTGTCCTTTGGTTGACTTTTTGGTCTTTATTACCAACCTGTACCAGAAAGTACTGGAACAGAGTAAGCTAACGCATCGTTAACTTTGTTGATCTACTGCAACCTAATTAATTGTATTTACATCGATTAACATGTAAAGCAAGTACCCCAAGTACACAATCTAACCCACTATAACCGGGACTGTAGTTAGTCTTCTTGGATCTGATTAGTGGTGATCAAGGCATACATAATCAAGCTTGGCAGGTTGCAATCCTAATTTTTCCTATCCTTAGGGGTTTAGAACTTCACTTTCAGCAATATAGCCTTTCTATTAGCAATATTTGTTTCAATTACCCTTACCTATCCTTGGTTCTAAATTTAATAGGATTCTACTAGAATTTTGTCAATATTATCCTATGCACGCGAACCATGCAATCAGATAAATTTAAGTATGAGGCCATTTTAGCAGTTACATAAGGAAATGGAAAAATGATTCTGAGTCACTCTCTTTTGTAGGAATTTCGTAATATAACTCACATAGCTAATAGCAACGTTTACAACTGAGGTCTGTATTCAGAGCGCACGCCTCCTAAGAGCCTAAGACACTCATCCCAAATACTCTCCAGGAGAAAGTATGCCGAGAATCAAACTGGTGTAAACATACGCTCTGTTTTGAAAGTATGGGCCGATACCGGGTTTTTCGACATTAATATCGACCCTGTGGTGTTTTCTAGTTTATGAGCAGGTCAGGCGATCTTTCCGAACCAAATACAAGGTTGTCTCGCACTGAAAATATTGATTTGTGTCTTATGTCCTATTATTGCATGAGCACCACAAACAAACAAGTCGATGATTAAAATCTTAATTTACCAATGTTCATTATCCCTTAACACACCACTCGCAAGCACGCAACTAACATTCGAGAAACCGCACACGACAGTGCTCTTTGCCTTTAGGTGATGACCCGAAATAACGCAGGCTCAGGAAGACGTCAAGTATCGTCATTGATAATTCTTGCAGTAACGATATTTTCGGATCCTCCTGTATCGGCCCATCCTTACAGCCTTGTGTTTCAGTCCAACAGAAAGATGAAAGGAAATGTATATTCTTCAGCTACATTTAGTTTTGGATTTCTGAAATAACTTCAAGAAAACTCTTTTTTTTTCACAACTATGAAATACAAGAAAGGCGGAAATCTTTTCAGTTTTTCACAAGTCTCCACAGTTTCCCGCCCAGCCAGCTGAACTAAAGAAACTAGATTTCGAGGTATCAGTTCAAGTTGTGTGCTGCTTTTCATACAACATTTTATAGACAGAGAGGTGGGAACTTTTCTCATCAAGAAATCTTCCTTTCTCTCGATTGGCATTTTTCCACTAAAAACACCCACCTCAAACACCCACCTCAAACTCCAAGACCTTCTGAAGTGCAAAATGGTCTGACCCAGCTATCGACAATTTTTCCATCCATTGATTTGAATTATCTAATTTATCCTACACCTCTATTTATCTTCGCCCGTTCTGCAGTTTTGGCTTATACGAAGACATGTACGCGCAGCTATTATTTACTCACTGATCAACATTTATACAAAAGCAAAAATCCAGCTTAGTTAAACTCGGCCTCATTCTAAACACTATACCATATATTTTACACGTGTAAATAAGATTCATAAAAAATATTCCGACAATTTAACTACCTTTCTTTCTTTAACTTGTTCTTCTTAGTTTTAAGATATTCTACATAAGACTTGCCAGCACCTCGTCTACCAAAAGTTCGAAGATAATTACTATATGCATTGTATTGTAAAGGATTACGGTACAGTGTGGTCTGTCTCCAAGCCACCGGTTGATAAGCCAGTTGGTCGTTAGTTTGTGCTACTGCAGGGTTATTCACTTGCGTAACGTATCCTCTTGGATTTGCAGGAGCCGCATAGTGATAATAATTAGCTACCTGATTCTGATGGTAGTTAGCTGGAACATAGTTGCCGTGAAGAGGTTGTATGGGCGAGAAAAGGGCTTCCTTGGATGGTAGCTGAGGGTGTATGTTAGCTTGCTGGTCTGGTGTGAAGGTGTTTTGTGTTTGTCCTACTTCTTTATTGTTCGACATAAATTGATTACTAGGTGTTTTAAGTTCTTGATGTAAAGGAACTACGGACTGGGGAGTAATTGTTAGAATGGCGGGGTTTGAAGATGTAGAAGTTGTGTAGGTTACCACTTGAGGTGCAATGTATTTCACAGGAGTAGGTGGAGAGGAAGTAAATGTGTAAGTCGGTCCGCTAGGAACTGCTTGGCGAAACTGTGGAGGTGACGGTGATTCGGGCACTGGAACCGAGTCACGTGGTTTTTCAGGGTGTTCAATGGGTTGATGATTAGGTTTTTGTTTGGTTCCATGTATAATAAGCTGCCACTCTGTTAGTAGGCCATGATTTGGTCTGTTATCTCCAAGGTCCTTTATCTCTAAGGTCCACGTTCCGCGTGGGTCCTCGCCCCATGCGTGCGTTGTCATGAAGGGCCACTTTGTGAAACCTTCGTCTGAGAGGTCCTCTTTTCTTGGTGACAGCAGGCAAGATTTAGTTCCCATGGGGGATGTCAAGTATACGACAAGGTCCCCTCGCCGTGTGTAGTCCAAGCTTAACATGAGTTGCACGTGTTCAAGGTAGCGAATCTCAGCAGCAGTTCCTGAACATCCATTCGAATGCATTGTTATCTTCAATGGCTCGTTGAATTTGATGGGTCTAGAAAGGCAAGCGTCGTAGGTTATCACTTTATACCGGTTTTGGGATTTTGAATTCCGTTTTGGATTTTTTTGTTCTATAAATTTCCTTCGCTTTCTCTATTCGCTGCCTCAGTCATTAAGTAATTTCATTGGTTACTTTTTTCAATAAGCAAAATCAGTCGCTCCGTGCTTTTGTTTGCAAAACTTACTTGCGGTCCTGATTGATTTGTCCCCTACAAATGGTCTTCTCAGGTACAGTTTTAAACGTGTTGGGTTTTGCTAATTCCACGATCTTTTCAGCAACTAACAGTCCGAAACCAAATTTCCTATTGACGTGTAATCCGACTCCATTAGGGCTCCAATCCTGATCGTGCTTGAGTGGTTCCCAGTTTGATGTCCACACCACGATATGCTGCACGTCACGCCATGTCAGGCGAGGACTGTGGCAAAAATGTAACAAAATAACACTTGGGGAGGGTTCTCTATAGTTTGAACACTTTGGTTGAAACTCTTCTAAATGTTATAGTTTGTAAAAAAAGGCTAGGATTACAGCGACAGACGGAGAAACTCGAGATAGACCGA